ATATTATATATATTTATATATAATATATATTATATATATTTATATATTATATCTGACTACCCCACTCGTGCTCTGTCTCTCTCTCTTTCAAAAATAAATAAACATTAAAAAAATTTTTTTAATTAATTTCTAGTTTTATTGCATGATAATTACTGTTTGATTTTTTTTCTTTGTTTAGGGAATTTATTGATTTTTTTCACACTAATATATGTCAGTTTTTGCGATTGATCCATTGGCACCTCACAAAAGCAAGTATTGTCTATTACCAGGTTCATAAGTCTGCCTTTATTGTTAATGTTAAGTTTTCAACGTCATTAAGTTTGTCCATTTTTTCTGTCTTGCACTAAGTAAGGGGTCCTGAACATCCAATTACAATATGTGTTCCAGTTTCCCCACACCAGCACCACCACCAATGCTCAGAACACTACCATGTCTGAGAATTCAGCTCATTTCTGAAACTACCTGGAGATAGTGTCAGACCCTACAGGTTAAAGGGTCAAGACTGCCACGCTCCCCCACCCCCAACCCTTGCACCCCACCCCGTACTTGCCTATTCTTCTGACCAATTGGCTATAAATCAGAGGCTGCCTCAACCCCTTTCTTCAGTTTGACTAATTCACTAGAATGGCTAACAGAACTCAGAAAACATTTTACTTACTAGATCTTCATTTTTTATGAAAGGATAGGACTCAGAAAGACCCGGAGGGAAAAGATGCACAGGGCAAGGTAGAGGGAACGTGTGCAGAGTTTCCTGGCCCTCTCCAGGCGCACGGCTCTCCCAGCACCCCAAGGTGTTCACGGACTTAGGAGCTCTCCAAACCCACTCTGCTCAGGCTTTTAGGGAGGCTTCATTACATAAGCCTGAATGGTTAAATCATTGGCCATTGGCGATTGACTCAACCTCCAGTCTCTCTTCCCCTCCCTTGGAGGTCAAGGCTGTGGGAGTGAAAGTTCCAACCATCCATTCACAAGGTTGATTCCTCTGGTCAGTCACATTAAGATGACTTGGGACTTTCCAAAAATTGCATCATTAACACAACAAAAGACACCTTATCACTCGTATTTCGTAGGAGATTCCAAGGGTTTTAGGAGCTCTATACCAGAGGCAGGGATGAAGACCAAATGTCTATTATTATAAATTATTATTATTATTATTATAAATTATAACTATGGTAACTTAAATTCTCGTATTTTAATGCGATTCTCTCAACTTTTTTTTAAGCTATGTTTTTAAATTTACCTTTCATCTAGAAAGTAATTTATACTTTGTCAAAGTTGCATGGATATTCATGACTGCTGTATTTTCTGGGTGAAATTTAGCCATAGGCATCATAAAAAGCTTTTCTGTGTACCTTTTGCCCTTGAGTCTAATCTGTCTGATACAAAGATCCATGACCCCTATTTTCTGTTTGTATTGTACTTGGTATTGTTTTGCTTGTTCTTTCACTATTAACTCTTCTAGACACTCTTGTTTCAGACTGTTCCAAGAAAACTGGAGGCAGAGTAAAAATTGTAAAAGTTTATTTGAGCAAAAAATCAATTCGAATCAGGCAGCGTCCGATCTAGCCAATAGAAAGGAGCTCCAAAATGAAAGACTTTTATAGGCAGAAAGGAAGAGGAAGAAGGAAATTATACTAGGCAAAAAAAATTGAATTGATTATGGGGGTTACATTCCTTTAGAGGATGGAAGGAGTCTATCAGCAGATAACCTAACTGATACTGATCAGAGGATTCCTGATTAACTGGATGAAGCCTCCATTTCTCCATTTAAACACAAATGAAGTCTCTGTTTAGTGACATGGCGTTTAGCATAAGACACTCCATTTAGGACCTGTTGTCTTGTTTTTAAGAAGGTATCTCATAAATAATCTTGATACTGAAAATATATGTTAAGGATTTTAGACTTTCCTTGCTTTGCAGATGCAACTTTAAGAAAATAAAGTTACAAAGATCCCTGAGGCAGAATTGGCTGACAGACTCAATTAGGTCTAGTTTCAACATGAGCAGTGGCATGAAGCATGTCCAGTGGAAGCCAGCATCATGATTCAGAGGCCCAGATACAATATGGGGATGAAAGGGCTCCGATTCTCAGCATCACCCAATGTTGCCCCAAATTACTGTGGGCGAAATATCCTTAGGGCGATATCACAAACAAGCAGCACCATGACATCTAGGCCAACGCACAGACCAAAGACCTTTTCATGCTCAGGAGTGAGCTGAGATTCCCTGAGAAGTACTACAACGTACTACAACGGCTGTTGGGAGCCCCTGGGCGTCCTGGTTGTCATAGCAGGAGACAGTATCTGGCATCTTTGGGGATGCGTCTTTTCTAGAAAATAAAGCACCCCTGGGACAGGCCCAGCACAGAATTGTTGTGGGCCTGAGAGCGTCTGTGGTTCCTGGGGTTGAGGGTCAGATACAGCCATACTGGTCAAAATCTTCAATAGTCATGAGCTCAAAGGCTGGAGATCTTCCATAGGTGGTGAGGGCTCAAAGAGGGCAACTGCCTCAGACTTGAACCCAGAGGATCACAGTCAGGGGTGCAGGAAGGTCTGGCAACTGGAGCTGGGGTCAGATTCATAAAGGCATAAGTGTGGTCCATCATTACAACCTCAGAGAGGTTCACAGGGGCCTTGAAATCCCCATCAGAGTCCTTGGGGAATCTTCTCTGAGTCCCAGTGACATTGGGGCAAGTCAGTGGGACATTGTCAGAGAAGTTGATTGTGATGTTGTCCAGGGATAGCAGACAAGGGCCAGGGTGCATCGCATTCTCAGGATCCAATGGAGGCCCTAAGGGTTGAAGATCAGGGGCACAACAGCACCCAGAAGCTTCAGCATAAAACTGGTGTCCGGGGCTCAGTGGTTCAGGATTGACCATGAAGAGTCCATTCATAGGGAGGGGCAGAGCCTCAGGGTACTGGGCTGTGTGTGTTGTTCCCACCGAGAGACGCCTCTTGGCCCGGGCCTGGATGCTGGGCCCCCGGGCCCCTTGTTCCCGAGGACGACGACCAGGACCACATCTGCCCATTGAGGGATGAACATCTCCGGCAGAGGGAATCGGGGTCGGTGGTCGGGTGGGGCCAGGCTCCTGGGAAGTGCAGGCGGGGACAAGCCCAGACTGGGCATCAGAGGAAGAACTCTGGGCCGGCAAGGAGCGTGGGGAGGCCAGGCACATTGGGGTGCGACGGCCAGTCCCACCACTAGCGGCCACAGGCCGAGGGGTGCGCGTGGCCCGGCGGGGTGGGAGGTGCCTCAGGCCCAGCAGGGCTCTCCGGGGAGCTTGGGCCACCCTCCAGGCGCTGAGCTCCCCCTCTTCTGGCGAGGTGGGCTCCGTGTGGTCCACAACAGCCCGGTCCTGCCCGCGCTTCCACAGCTCATAGCGCTCAGGCTGCAGGATTCGCACGAAGGCGTCCATGGAGAAGGTGACCCTGGCCTCCCCGCAGCTGCACTGAGACGCCACTTTGCCATAATCGATCCATCGCGGGGTGGCGAAGTTGATGGCTTCTGC